GACAAAAAAAACATTGTCAATGATCACACAAATAGGAGACTGCTAAAGGATTCCATGTTTGTTAAAACTATCATCCAAAATATTTAGTTAGCCCTATATTTAAAAATGTTAATATACCTCCAGGGACTTTACAATCTGTGCAGCTAACAGCACCCTCTGTACACAGTGCCATATATTTAGTATTTCTAAGGGTTTGATGGAGTCTAAATGTCGCCATCTGCTGGTCAACGTTATGAATTACAGCTATTGTTTTAGGAATAATTCAAGACAAGACATGAAACATTGAATCAAAAGATAATTGACCTTATCATTGTCATGAGTTGCATATTTAATACAATACATGCAATGAAACTGAAACAGACTTCTTGTGTCATTGTCCAAATGTTTGTGTTTGAGTCTGGGTTTAAAAAGTTAACTTTGTGTTATATTGTGATAATTTACTTTGTGAGGAGAAAGAAACAAATACCTTGTAATCAGTCTCTGAAGGTTAACGTGTGAAATAATTCATTTTAAATACAAATATTTGTCTTTTTTTAAGATTTTCATTCCAATTACAAGTCGGCATGAAACAATATAAGGCAGATACGTAGGAACTCTTTTTTTTGACCCATTGGACCAGAGCCATGGTACCTATAGAGAGGCGAAGTCACGCCCGTCTACTTCCGGTCCATGGGACCTTATTTCTGAAAAATGATGTATTGAAGTCAATGGAGAGAGAAAACGTATCTTTCGATCCCGTTTGAATTGTGCCATGATTTACACATATGATGTTTGTCAATCTTAACAAATCATTTCCATGTCAAAAAAGTCACAGTTTGTCGTAAAACTGCTACCTCCGAGACCCGACCACGGATAAGCGGGAGAAGATGGATGGAATTCCATATTTCCAAAATTATAACAAATTCAATCTAAATTCTTCTTCTTTCCTGTCGTGTTTGTTATTAAAATGTATTATCACAAAATAACGTGAAAAGGTACCAATAAAGGTTTCCTTTAACATCTGGATAAAGACTTGCCAATGGGAGGGCAATGGTTTCAGGCGTATATAAACATCTAAGATAATAATGGGAACATTTTTTAAGAGACTTGGGATGCACCCTGGGATAACCTGAGACAGGTTACACAGCTGTCTACACAATACCCACAGAGGAACAGCTTCAAGCTCCACTTCTGACCTTTGTGATCTGTATGTTTCACAGCCATTAGCTCCTTGTGATTTATCATACTTTGTATAGCACCTAAATCAGGGTCATAGCATTCATTCTGAGATGGTTCACAGGACATTATTTGAATTGTTTTGTTACATTTCTATCTGTGACCCAGGACTGTTGAGTCCACTTACTCTGAGATTAATAACCATTCATCTTCAACAACATTTAAACCAAGCACTAAAATAAAGATCACACAATATCCCATTCTTACTGGTTTTTATCAAAGAACAGTGAAGAATACACAATGATACATTCAGTAAGATATGGGTTGGCTTCAAACAGAAACAGAGCCCACATGTTCAGCCTGTAAGTTAACAGGTGAAAGGATTCTTGGAGCAGATGAAGCGCAGGCTACTGGTGCACTGGGTGTTACACCAACCATCTGAAAAGTTAAGGAAAAACAAAAGTGTTCAATAAATATGTTATTTAACAAGAGATGCACCACAATGTTCACTGTTATATCACTTGTTTTTCCTATCCAGAGTTAATCAGCAGGAAGGACAAAAAGAATGTCATGCTCGCTATGATCTTGGCATTGTCTCCTATCAGGACACATAAATACAGATATCTACTCTGTGAAAACAATGCAGGAACCCAGGTACAACATACACATCTCTCACAACTCTATTGATATATACATTCCCAGCTGGACAGACAAATATTACAATATCACAGCATTCATATTTTACATTATTTGATGAGGCTGCCCTTTTTGAACAAAGAGCCAGGCACCACCTTAACATACAGTTAATTAAACCTAATTAACACAATAGCAACATTTACAAGTAGGTTTTATACTATGTAACCAGTCAGATCAAACAGGTGTACTTACTGCTGGTGGTTAAGTACATGCAGGGGTAGCTGCTGGAGGAGGACTGGGAGTACCAGTTGGTGTAGTATAAGCCCTGACTATCAATCCACATCCAGCGGCTCTGAAACACAAAGAGCATGGCTGTAAGGAGGTGTTGTTGCAGTCTCTTTATCTGTTCTGCTGTTCTCTAGGACCCCCTCTAGACCAGGTCCTGGACTAGCTGCTGGTATCTCTTTCTAAAAAACAGACCTGCAGCCTGAAGCCTCCCAGCCATGCGTTGCTCAGACCGGATCTCTTTGTGATCTCCTGCAGGAAAGCGTACTCTCTGGGGTTGGTGGCCGAGGCCAGGTGGGCCCCCAGGCCGGTGCAGTGCTCCTGTGGGACAGAGGGGGCACATAGGGTTCTTTGTGGACATGCAGATAAACAGCTGTGTGATTTAATGTCTTCATTTACTTCCTTAAAGAATGGAATGGATATGAAAGATGACAGGAACAACACAGATCTACTTTTAAAGCCTCATACAAGTTCAATGTGTCTGCCTGCTCTCGATAACACAGTGAAGTGTTGCAGTAGTGTTACCTCAGCACTGAACCAGGTGCTGGCTGTGTTGCTGACGATGAAGCAGCGAGAGTTGTGGCTGTACCAGCCGTCAGGACAGTAGTTAAAGCGAGCTGCAGACACACAGAGAAGAGAGAGCTTTCACTGACTGAAACACACTCTGTTCAGCCTGCTGCACACACAGCTGCTCCACTGACACCAGCTTCAGTCTGCGTGGACCTCATGTGTTCACAGAACAGTTAGCAGGGGAGTAAGAGCTAGCAGGTTATAGTTATTAGCCTAACATGCAAACATACTGCTGTGGGGCTTCCAACAAGTCATGCTTTTACTCATTTTCCTCAAACTCTATATGGCAGGATATTTCGAGAGAGGTGTTTGACTTTTATTTAATCTTCTTTTTAATTGTACCATATTTCTTGCCATGACAATCATGAAGGGGAAAAAAGGGAAGATTAAAAGTGTTTTGTGGTTCTTACATTCAGGTGCTGCTGCCTCCTCCAACACCGGTGCTGCAGAGAAAGAGAGAACACAATGATCAGATGTATTGTGTAAAATATATGCAAGTATTTATATATGGTTATTACATTTTGGTCACATTTTGTTCATATTGTACGGAGCCCCCTAGGGGACATGGAGAGATATCGCAATACTTTTCATTTAGCTCAATGTACTTCCTGGTCAGTTCGGCAACACAGAAACCACAACAATGGAGCGGTTCATCGATTTTACTTTGAGCTTGGCCTTAAATATAAAGATATAACATCAGTGCTTGCTTTTGTGTAAATAAAAAATGTTTTAGATCTTTGAGTTCATCTCATGAAAAATGGGAGCAAAAACAAAAGTGTTGCGTTTATATTTGTGTTCAGTGTGGTATTAGTACTTCTACTTATCTGAATCTATGTTCCACCAATGCCATTAAGCACACAGAACTCAAATCACGCTGTTCCAAAAGCTCTCGCTCTCTGTGAGCTTTAAATGTTTTAAACGTGTTTCAGAGTTTTCTCAGAGAACAGAGGCGGCTCAGCTTCAGCTGGGACAATGCTTCATGCTTAGAATTGTAAAATAAAGTAACAACAACTACAGTAATCCGAGAGATGAACTACAATGAAACATCCCAAAGGAAGTTGCTGGATTAGATTCAGATTTATGATGCAGAGTTAAAGGGAGTGTTGGGAGAAGCAAGGCGTGCTGAGCTCTCTGACTGAAGACAGAGCAGATAACAGATGAGGGAGAAATGGCTTTCAAGGTCACTTATTTACTTTTATAAAGAACAGTGAATTACTTCCTGTAAAACATGTTATTCTAG